TTACTTCGTGTCTGATAACTTTGAATGTGTAGATTAAAACATTCAAGACATTCGTGGCTTTTTATGTAGTAGTTAAGAATTTTAAATGCAAAACAGACATCAAAATATTCCCTTCTGCGAACAAGAGTAGATAAGTCTAAATAAGTCATAGTCAGGTCATCACTGAGAATTACACCACTCAAAGAAAGTTTGTACCTTGCAAACTTAATAAATTTGTGTTGAACACTCTCAAGCCTATTGATGTGGATCTGATAGTAAGGTGACCAAACTATGCATGAAAATTCAAGAACGGACCTGACCAGTGATGTGTAAAGAATTTTGATAGGGCGTATACTTGTAAAGTCCCTAGTAGCTCTCTTAATAAACCCCAACATTTTATTAGCCCTGCCAATTACCACTTCAAAATGCTCAGTGAACATTAGCCTAGTATCTAGATAGACACCAAGATCTTTAATGATAGAAACTTCAGACAAGCGAACATTGTTTAAGTAATACTGCAAGGGAACACTATGGGTGCGTCTACTGAATCTTATACAACAGCACTTATCGATGTTGAGGGACATGTAATTAAGCTGACACCAATCGTGAACGATGTTAAGATCATTTTGCAAAATAAGTATGTCTTGAGTTGACGTCACCTGACGATACAACTTCAAGTCATCAGCAAAAAGTAAAAAATTTGACGAGAGCAACGATCCTAAATCGTTGATAAATAAGCTGAATAGAAGGGGGCCCAAGTGAGAACCTTGGGGTACCCCAGAGGATGCATGGAAAAGAGAAGAAAGATAGCCATCGATCTTGACTTGTTGCATTCTGTTAGTAAGGTATGATTTCATCCATGAAAATAAATGTCCAGAAACGCCGAAACTTGAAAGCTTTGAAAGAAGGATGTTGTGATTTACCTTATCAAAGGCTTTACTGAAGTCAGTATATATTGCATGAGTTTCTGCATTATTAGCAAATGATGAATTTATGAATGTTGTAAAGAGAAACAGGTTCGTCTCAACGGATCTACCGGCTATAAAACCGTGCTGTTGACTGATCACAATCTGATGAAATATTTTTGAAAGAATTCCTTCCACGCACTGCTCAAATAATTTTGGAATCGCAGACAGAATGCTGATGGGTCTGTAATTTATTACATCATTTTTGCTGCCTGACTTGTAAATAGGACAAACGTAGGAGAGCTTCCACATTTCTGGAAAAATTCCAGAAGATAATGATTTGTTGAAAATATTAAACAGAGGAAGATACAAAGTGTTAGAACAAGATTTTAGTACTTTGTTGGGAATACCATCAGGTCCTGCAGACTTGTTGATGTCCAATTGCGTTAAAGCCCTCTCAATATCTGTTGGATCTATGACAATGCTTGAAACATTCTCAAATCGATCAGCAAAGGTTCCAGCGTCGGAATTTCTCTGAGGGTTATAGACGGAGGAGAAATAGACAGCAAAAAGATTAGCTATGTCAACACCGTTGGACGCCTTTTCTGAGGCAAGAAACATTTCGTTAGGAATAGTACCCTGATTAGATTGGGAGTGAATAAAGTTCCAAAAAATTTTCATATTGGTGCCTATGGCTCTTTCAGTATCACTTATGTATAATTTATAGCACTCTTTGGTGAGGTTTTTACAATCTCGCCGAAGTGTACTAAATGCAAAGTAATCCAAACCTCTATTCGACCGCTTGAATCGTCTGTGAGCAATTTTCTTTTGAAAAATCAGATTTTTCAATTCGTTAGAGAACCAGATAGGAAATTTCTCGCTGTAAGAATGTGCCTTTATTGGAACAAACATATTAAAGCAGTCGAACAGTACCAAGTAAAAGCTCTTAACAGTTTCGTTTAGATCGTCCATCATAATGGATCGCCAATCAAAGGAAAGAAAATATTCATTAACCAAATCAAAATTGGCATTTTTAAAGTCATAAGAAGAATAATTAAGAGGCTTCAGAAATTTAGCTTTAACAACAGGTATGGAAAACTCTAGAGCTGGGTGATAACGATCACATCCCACCAGACCTTCAGATGTTACAAGTGAAATAGGCCCAAAGTTGGCAAAACATAGATCCAGGATTGAACCATGATCGTTAGCCACCCCATTGTATTGAGACAGATTAAGAGAAGCAGTACTATCGCATAAGAATATTTCCTTAGTTGTCCTTACATTTCCAGGTAATAAACCCGAGAGATCCTCACTAGTGGACCACGTTATTTGGGAAAGATTATAATCTCCAAGAACAAGCACATTATCAAACATTTCACAGGCACTAGCAACTGATTTCAAATGGTTTTCATAATGGAGTACATCCATGGTAGGTGGAATGTAGACACAGCCAATACAGAAGACCATATGTCACCCAGCGTAACAGACACCCACGTTTCCTCGACCGATGCTTCACCAATTGACAGGCGATGAGATTTTAGGCAATTATTTACTGCCAAAAGGACCCCACCTCCACGGCTTTTAGTACTGTTCAGACTGCTTCTATCAGAGCGATAAATCGTGTAACGCGAGTCAAGAAATTCGGCATCACAGATACTACAGTCTAGCCAGGTTTCCGTAAGTGCAATAACTGAGAAAGACTCGGCGCGAGCCGCACAGAAAGCATCTTTGAGTTTGGTTTTTAAGCCTCTTACATTTTGGTAGAGAAAGGAAGCACAATCTAACGAGACTGGTCCTCTCTGTCTCCTCTCTGAAAATTTGCATTGGACGGTTTTGCCCCCATACGACGAGGATGAAACTCCTTGACAGCAATGCCTACTGGCCAGAGGTTAGGATCCAGCAGGCCCTTCAAAAGTGATTCTTTAACCCCAATTTTAAATGAAACCACATCTTCATTTTTGTCCAACACCAAGCATTTGACATCAGGAATGGAGAGCTGATTCTTCAAATAGTTAGAGATCTGTTCCTCAGTGGTACTCGGATCACATCGACCCAGATATAGCCACTGGCGTCTCTCACCTGCAGAAAAAATACCTCCATCAGCACCTGTGCCAATTAATACAGGATTATTACTTGAGCGGTCCGATACTCTCACAGGATTAGGCACTGATTGGCGCTCTATGCTGCGGATCGGTCGCTGGGACTTTTGCTGTCCAGCTAGTTGCAGGCTATTAGATGACTGAAAGCTTCTTGATTCATTCCTGATGGGTACCGCCCGCAGATTAGGAGGGAACTGAGATGGGGTTTGCGAAGAACCTGAGCAGCTTGATGCAGTTTTCATAGAATTCAGGGTTGCAGTAAGCAGCTGGAACTCATTCTCAAGTTTGAGTAACTTTGTCTGTAAATCTTTGTTACTTTGTTCCAGTTCCCTTAGCTTCATATCATAAACAGCAGATGCCGCTGAGTTGGGCATGATAACGCTAGTATTGTCTATTTCCGAAAGATTATTAACTGCAGAAGTGATTGGTTTTTCCAGTGAAGAAAGAGTGGCTTTGATTTCACCAACAGTGTCAGTAACACCATCCAGTTTCAACTTTAAATCATTATAATTAGTTGCAAGTTTGGTGTAGAGTGTGTCACACACCTCACTGGTGATATTTCTGATTAGCACTTTCAAGCCGCCGCCAACATCATTACCAAGCGACTTCACGGAATTTACACAGCCACTGCACGCATAAAGCATTACTCTGGATTTTAACCGGGTCACCTGAGCCTCTGAGGTTGAGAACCTTGAACAGGCCACGCAATTCCAGGACCCACAGAAGTCACAAATTATCTTGTATTCCACCTCTTTATCTGTCAAATTGATACGACATTTGGAGCACGCCGACATTGTTCTCAATAATTTGAGCCGCAAGCTGAATGTAATATGGGACAGGCTATATATGGCAATAATCGAGGGTGAAACTGTGTTCAAATTAGATGAAACGCATTATAGATTTTATTGCTTTCAGCAATCTATACCACTCGTTGCTGTTCCTTTTTTTTTTTTTTTATTTAAATAAATTTATTCAAATAATGTATTCAAACAATTTAAACAGGTACCACAATTTTTTATCCAAGTAACCTTGATACTTTTGAAGCAATGCAGACTGAGAACAATGGGATAAGTAACTAATAATAACCGATTTGCTATCGTTAACACACGAACAATTCACAGAACGCGTAGATCACAAACCAAGCACAACTGTTGCGAAAATTCACAAATTAATTTTGAGTATGAAAGCAAGAAAAAATGAAAAACGACGGAGCGATGTAAATACTAGGACGACCAACGTCGTAATTCACATTGTGTCCATTTTTTTCAAAATCGGTTTTGGCAAAACTTTGTTCTTGGGATTGGCTTCTTTCAAATCCACTATAAGCCATTAAATAAGACTCCAGATGGATGAGTCTTCCGTGGCACAATGGCCACAATATCTTACAGTTGCAAAGTATATTTATGTGATGCGCAGACTCAGAGACTCCTCCTGATGTGTAGATCAATGAATTTCTGCATTGTTTTTAAGAGAAATGAGGTTAGGCTAATCGGTCTGAATGATTTAAGCTCTTGTCCGTAGGACAATGCTATACCCACTCTGAGTTTAGGCTGTAGGTACTAAGCATTTGGAATTGAGACCACATTCACATTCCGCCAACTGAGATGATGACCTCAACTTTTAGTCCCAGATGAATCAGTCTGTATATTTTCGACTGTTTGGCACATGAATTTTGTAATTTTGAATCCAAATAGCACTTTCATTCATTTGTCAAGTTTCAAATTTAAATTTGAACTTTTTCATCTAGAATGCTTATTGCGCGTGAAAGTATCAGTAGAGTATCATTTCTACATAAATATTCACTATGACATCTAACCTGCAAACTTTTTTTTTAATCATACCAGAAATGTATGCATCTGCACCTATTGTTTAAAAAATAGAACAAAAATTATCAAGTTATTTCTGGTGCAAATTGGTTAAGATTGGCTAACAACAAAGGCTTTTAAATTATTATTCAAAAACTAAATTGCAGTATAATAGGTGTTACTCAAAAGTCAAAATTCCTTTTTTTTTTTAGTGATAGATGCTTCAGCTAAAGTACCTTCCGGAATCCTGAGACTCAACTTGGGAGGTTGGATGGGAAATTTCGATCAGTGTCTCAACATCAAAAGCCAAAACCGCAACATCAAAGGAAATTATTGCTTGGGCACTTTGTACATTACCATTGACGATCCATCTTTTCTATCTGTAAGTCGAAAATATATAAGAGAATAAATAAACATTTTCAACTTATTTTAGAAAATGTTCACATCCAAAGCGAAACTGTTTGCCGAGAAAAAAAGCAAATTCCAGCACATTTTTCCCATTGTGTCCTATCCGTCGTTCGGGCTGTGCGTACCTGAAGGCTGCGATGCTGAGGACGTGAATAACATGTACAAAACGTTCAACTTAACTTACGACATCAAGTTTCAATGTCAAAATATAGACGAGGCGAATCCTCCATTCACCAAACTAGCTTGGTGTGTCATGTGAGAATTAATTTTATAGTTTTTCAGATAAGGTAACAATAGCTAAATGCATTTTTAGGGCATTTTTCTTAATTATAATTGGATTAATGGTTGCTTCTACAACGTATGATGTTTGTTGTAGCGAAAATAATCCAGGTAAATATTTGTCTCAATTCAAGTCACTTTGAATTTAGGTTTTAATTGGGGTTGATGTGCGGACAACTGTACTGATTTTAATGCTTGACACTGATTTCAATTAGTTCTCAAAGTCATAACAAAGGATATATGAGCCAAAAAGTTGGTAATTGACATATGTTAACGCAACATTATTTATAAATTTGGTTTCTTCTCATTCTTATTAAAGAATTACTTAAATGTCAATTTCGCGTAAAACACACAGGAGTGTATTTTCTACGACCCTGCGCCGACCGAGGCCGATAGCTGTTGAAGATTTGGATTTACATACTAGATCAATAGTACCTACTTGATATGCACTTTGCATTTTTACCGGTTCCGTGTTTTACGCTCAAAAAGTCTATGTCTTGTACTGTTAGAAAGGGACCTTGAGTGCCTTAAGTCGATGGTGATACGTTTGTGGTTGTGGAGAACCGTTTTCCAAGGGATCCCCGTATATACGCACAGCTTATAAGAAAACTCAGGTGAGTGGTAATAACTTTTGTGTGTTTCGACAATCCTATTATGGTATCAATTTCATTTCTATTTCTATTTGTTTGCGCGATTATCCAGTCGCAGTCCAGTTTACTAAATTTCAAATACTATTGCGTAAACAACATCAATGGAAATAAGATAGAAAAATAGTTTGGCAATTGACAATAAGTAGAAAAGACATACAGTAAATAAGTTAATAAATTGACAATGGAAAATATGTGGAGGAAACTGAAACCTCACCTGCTTTGTAACTATAACGAACGACTTCACACTGTAAGCACCAGAATCTGTGACCAGAACTTAATGAATTCAGGGCGACGTGAGGCATCTTTTATTTAGCTAAATTGGTGATGCTTTTAGTTTATCAGTTTCAAAACAGGCGACTTTTTCCAAAAAACCAGAGGTCGAGAGTCGTGTTTTAAGACATAGTCATTCGGAAACCGACTGATACCCCTTGGCTCTTGGTACGGTTTCGTCAGAAATTTGGCGATTTAATCTAACTGGGTAAAAAGCCAATTGGTTGTATGACGAAGCAAAAAAGGACTTTTAGGCCGGTTTTTTACAATTGTAGAAGGTCAAAACATAGCCTTGTATTATTATCAAGAGGTTTGCAGTGATCCAGGCTTTGGAGTAATATGTACAATAAAGAATCGTCATCTCTTGTGATATATTTTTGAGTTATTGGTAAAATATGATGAAAACCTGTTCGATTATCCAAAATTGATATAGGGTAAATGTGATAAATAGTGTATATCTCAGCGGTATTCTCAGAATAAAGAAAATTTTACCTTCTGATTGATATCTACTACATTTGGTAAGTTCATCCCTAACTGTTAGGGTATAGTTACGATTTGGGAATTCAAAGAGGTCAATGTTTATCCTTTCAAATAGAGTTCTGGGAGTTTCAGTGATAACGAGAGGAGAATTAAGATTTTTCCTATAGGTTTTGACTTTTTGGCAGATTTCACATTCAACATTTTTGGTTAAACCTTCTCAGGATTTGTCTTCAATTCTTCTAACGGTTTCATTGATTCCACGATGTAAATTTGTTTTTCCAGTATGATATTAGGTCAGAATAATTGGAATTTGGTCTTGATGTGGGGTTTTGATGATATTTTGGCATATCTTAAGCATAATGTCTTTTACGGCAAATATAAAGGAAAATATTTCAAGAATAGGTAATTCCAGAATTGTTTTCTATGCAATGGGGAAGTTCAAGTACCAGTAGAGTTCAGCTGAAATCTGTTTTGAATCAAGATTGTACAACTGAGCCTTAATGTGTTTTGGATTTTTGGGTGTGGGGGTGTTTTTTGTAGCTAATTTTTGCAGGGTTCGGTTTTACACCGTCTTGAGTAATAAGGTGTCCCAGGTAAGCTACTTCTTTTCGAAAAAACTCACGTTTGTCCGGCTGGATTTTTAAGTTAACTTCCCGGAGGCGTTTAAATACCTCGGTTAGCCTTGAAATATGTTCGTGGATGGTAGGAGAGTAAACGATAATATCGTCTATGTAGATCAAGCATCTTTCGTTTTGAATGCCGAAGAAAATATTGTCCATGGCTCTTTGGAATGTAGACAGGGCATATTTCAATCCAAATGGCATACGTACGAATTCGTAATGGCCGTTTTCTATGGAAAAAGCGGTTTTCGAAACATCCTTGGGGACTACTATTATTTGGTGAAAATCTGACATTTTCCCAATTGATCTAGAAGATCGGAAATATTAGGCAGCGGGTATTTGTTGTCTACATAGTGGGTTCGTTGACTTTACGGCAGTCGATTATGACGCGCCATTTGGGTTTGCTAGAAGCATCAAGTTTCTAAGGAACGACTCAGACGGGAGAAGACCATGGAGATACAGAATGGCGAATTATACCTTGGTCTAGCATTTTGGTAACTTGGGACTAGTCTTTTTGTTTGTGGATTTGGGGGTAGGTACCTGTAAGATTTGGGTTTGTATTATTGGTGTCAATAGGGTGTTTAAAGGAAATCCAACCCTTAAATTCCATCGAAATCAATATTCAAGTTGTAAATATACACTTTGTGAGGATCTTGGAGGGTGGACGGTAAAAGTGTTGATTCACGGATCTGGAGTTTTTGATCGGTGAATGGTTACATTTTCTTCGGAACGATAGGGGAATTTATCTACAGCATTTTCTCTAAAAATTGAAATGCCTGCACCTGTATCAATAAGTAATCTGAATTTATTGGAGGTGTAGCAAAACGCCCCAAGTACTCTATGTAAATAGTTAGATGGTAAATGGCAAGTCAGAAAGTTCTTACTAGTCAAAATCACTCAAGTAAAATTCAAAGTTTAATCACACAAAGTCATGTTCATCATTTATATTGGAAATAAATCTTGTCACTATAGAGTACTTACATTTTGTCCATAAAACACACGTAAAATTAATTAATTACTCAAAATATTTAGCTAGCACGCACATAAATTGAACGAATTTCAAATGTTATTTCTTAGGGAGGATTTTCATGCATCCGTTTTTCCGTCGAAATATGTCCGAAAAGTCTTCTATTTTGACATATTTATATACGATTATGTCAGAATAGAATGTTAAACGGACATATTTCGTCGGAAAAACGGATGCATGAAAATCCTCCCTTACACGATTTTCCGTAAATTTTCTAAGTCTATTTCGAACGTGTTTTTCCCCGAGGCAGCTTCGCTAATCTTCAACCGGATAAACTCATTTGGTTTTGTAGACTTTTACTCAACTGGACTGTTAAATGGCAACTTCAACGGATAATTGGCAACTGTCCCCTCCGGCAACTCAAATGCGGTATTTACATAAAATCAATGCTCCCAAATCTCTTTGTCTATGACAATTATTAAGATGATGCAATTTCCTTGGAATTTTATATCATTTTTAGCCTGAAATCAATTAATTATGTCGCAATAATCTGATTTATTGAGGTCAAAACGTTTGGGTTCAAGAATTCCATAATTCATTCGACTCAATTTTTGGTACGCCGAAAGGCCTTCGCTAACAAAAGTTCATTGATCGGATTTTAGAGATGTCATCACCTTGTCCTCGTTTTTATTATTTTTAAGATTTTAATTTAGAAGATGACAAGCGAGGGGGAGTCGAATTACGGTAGCGTTAATTTGTTTCATTTTAATTTATCGATACAGATTTGAGATATCAGAAATTCAGTTTTTGATTGCTTGATTAATTATTTAATTTTTACAGTAAAGACATTGTGATTCACGGGTCTAATTTCTGGATCATTACAGAAGCATCATAAATGTAGTACAGATTTTCCGAATTAACAGTAAGAAGTGGGTTTAAAGAAATCTTTGTTTCGGAAAATTGAGGTTCGGATTCATGTTGTCTAGATTCAGAAGTTGTATCTGAGTCTCGATATTCGAAGTGTGATGTTTGTATGGTTCAATTTCCACAATGGTTTTATTGGTTTCAGAATCAAAATACCTTTAAACAAGGTACCACTCGACCCATCTTCCCTATCTAAAAAAGAGATGTGAAAGTCATCCTAGCGAAAAACCGATGGGGTCAAAATTTTGAATACATGAATACAAAATTAACGTACCCCAAAACGCATTTGTTTCGATAATTGTGAAACACCCTGTATATATTTTTTCAATTCTGGAAGTACTTAATTAAATCCACCACTTATTTACTTAAGTTTCTGTATTGTTTAATATTAAAATTAAGTCTGCTTATTTTTTTTATTTTTTTGTAGAATCAATATCCTTTTTGTTCAAGTCCTTCTCCGTTTACACAAACGGTCAAAAACTGTTCAACAAAAGCAAAAGCGGTTCAGATCTAGCCTGTTTAAATGGCATAAGATTTTTAAGTATGATGTGGGTCATAGTGGGTCACACTCTATCTGTATCCATTACTGGGCCTGTGATTAATTCTTTGGATGTGATAGAGGTAAGAATATATTTTTTCCACTGTTATTGAAGCATTAACTAATACTTTGTTCTAGTATCTAGATACCACTAGAAGCATGATTTTTGCGAATGCTGTTCATTCGGTGGACACTTTCCTCACTATCACCGGACTTTTGGTTGTTTACAGTTACATGAAATCGCGAGAAATGGGAGTGAGCTTTAATCTGCCTAAATTTTATCTACATAGATATTTAAGGTAAGAATTTTGATAATAGTTGATAGAATTGAAATTGATTGTGTTTCAGGTTGACACCGCCGTTTTTAGCTGTAATACTTGTCAGTGCAGGCCTGTTGCAGTATATGGGCTCAGGCCCCCATTGGTCGTTCATAGTCAACTATTTTCAAGGGTTTTGTCAAAAAAATTGGTGGTCCTCACTTATTTATTTTCAAAATTATATAAATGTTGAACAATGGGTAAACAATATTGATTGAGAGTTTTTGAAATCTATTATTTGAAATTTTTAGTGTCTCGGACAAACCTGGTATTTAAACATCGACTGGCAACTGTACCTACTTTCGCCCATATTCCTCACAAGTTTAACATATAAACCTTTACTTGGAACTTCTCTTTTGGGTTTAGCCTTGGTAATTTTTATTATAGTGCCGTTTTACATCACTTGGGTTAATGAGCTGCCAGCCCTTATGACAAACCTCTATGGGTGAGTATGATGGTATCTGGTTATGTTTAATATAATAAATAATTTTTTGTTTTTAGAGATTTGGGAAATTATCAAAATCTCTATTACTTGCAAACCCATACAAGGGCTAGTCCCTGGTTTGTTGGTGCGTTTGTGGGTTATTTTGTATTTACGGTTAAAAAAGAGAATGTTATTAAATTTAATAAGGTAAGACAAATACAATGCAATAACTGGCTGTTTAAACTGATATAAACTACAAACAAAATACCTCTTCTAGTTCGTGATCATTGGATTATGGTGTGCAACTTTCACAGTTATTCCTGTATGCATTTTTGCGGGAGGAGAAGATTTGAGATCTAAAGAGTACCACAAGTACAGTAACGCTTTCTACAATTCATTGGTGAGACCTACTTGGGCTGTATGTATTGGTTGGATTGTATTTGCTTGCACCAACGGTTACGGAGGAATCATAAATACATTTCTATCGCTGCCTATATTTCAAATTTTGAACCGATTCACTTATTCCATATATCTTCTTCACGTTACCATGTTGTATATGTTAATATATGCATCAAAAACGGCTACCTATTTTTCTTTTATCAATTTGGTAAGTAATTTGTTTGACTCAATTAGCAATAATAATTATTGAGTTTTTTTTTTTTAGGCATATTCCTTTTGGGGCATAACGATGCTCTCATTTGCTGTCTCGATATTTTGGGTGTTAGCCTTTGAATCGCCTGTTTTAGCAATAGAAAAATATTTCATGGGCACCCACAGAACCAAATTGACAGATGAAGAAGGCGACAAGGTAATCTTGGATGTGGAACGAACTCCTCTATTATCGGAGCCTGCTACCACAAATAATTGATTGTGTTTTTTTTTTTTTCTTTTTAGAGAAACGCTTAGTTGCAATGCATGGACTATATATCAAAAACATAAATAAATACTAATGCTTAGGCTGCTGCATGCTGTATGAACTAACTATTTAACTATTTATTTTAGGGTAAAGTATTATCTGTGATAGCATATAATATTATGTAATTTTGTTGTTTATTTATATTGTAATAAAGTATTGTTTGGAAATATTGGTTTAATTTGAGATATACCAATTATATTTTCGATTCAGAAACTTGTAAGAATTAAACGAAAACCGATAGAGAAAACTGATTACTGTATATTGGACCCAATTTGCGTTATTGCATTAGATTAGGAACGTTGACATCTCGTAGTGTATCAGATCAAGTATCAGATTGACATCATACAGTGGACCAGCCGATAGTGGCGTGGGGATTAGGGAATTTTGTTACAAACACGATAAACGAATATAAATAGTGGCCGGCAACACAGGGATAGTTAGACTTGAACCAGTGCCTCTTTTGGGAAAGCCCATCTGGATGTCCATTTACTTTAGAGAAGCGCACCTAAGCTTTGTGACTTTTAGGTAACTCCCATAGAAGGGGCACTATGTACAGGGTGATCTATTATAAATGTCACCCCCTTCTAACTTTTTCATTTGACATTTTTGACAAAAGTGTCAAATACAAAAGTTTCATGAAATTGTCGAAAGTTTTCAACTAAGTCAGTTTTAGGCATACAGGGTGCGTCAAAAAAGTACAGCAGTGTGAAGTTATATTTTTTTAAATAGAACATCCTGTTTATTGTGCGCTTATTTATTAGTCTTTTTTAACCTGATTTCAACAATATATAGTTTGATATGTCTATCTTCATTATTTATAGAAAAAAAAAACATGAAAACCCCTTTCAAGGTTTCATATTGAAAAAAGAAAAATCATACCATTTAAGCTTTAAAGAATATTTTTTATAAACAGTTTATTGTTCAAATTTCATTCATTAATATACAAGGTGAAATATTATAATAAATCCAGATGTCTAAGTTATCATTATTGTTTTAAAAAAAAAATAACATGAGAGACCTAGGATGGAATTTTCGCGTTTTTCCCAATAACTATTAGAGATAAACCGAGAAATAAACGTAATCAAACCATATATCGTTGAAATCAGGTTGAAGGGGCCTAACAAATAAGGGCACAATATATAGGGTGTTCCATTTAAAAAAATATAACTTCACACTGCTGCACTTTTTTGACGCATCCTATATGCCTAAAACTGACTTAGTTAAAAACTTTTGACAATTTCTAAAAACTTTTGTATTTGACACTTCTGTCAAAAACGTCAAATGAAAAAGTTAACAGGGGGTTACACTTATAATAGATCACCCTGTATCATAGGGCCATCCTTTGGTAATTACCAATTATTATTATCTTTACTGTGCACAATATACTTTAAGCTAAGTACTAAACGAGTCTCTATCCTCCTGATCCTATGCTACGCACCCTGTCAGGATAGGATAAGTTGTGACAGTATTAAAAACAAAAATCTTGATACAAAATAGCGCAAACGTTTATTCACCTAAATCAAATTACATCTCTTACATTACTATACCCACAGTTCCCATTATGAGTATACAATCACAATACAGACTCTATATTCCATCAGTATATTGATACAAATCTTTTTCTCTACATTGAATGTCTGTAACAGGTTAATCAAACAGTAACTCAATTATTATGAAATAATAATAACAATGACAAAAAAGACCTGTACTTGACTAGGAAGTAATTTTCTGGTATTTCAAGAACAGGTCCAGTAAAATAAATAACCATTTCTAAGGCCTGTTGTTTTTTTATTTATTTATTTCTATCGCAATTTGGGCTCAACCATTAAGTACAAGACCAATGACATCAAAACACAGATAGACCGAACAATAAACAAAATTTTCGTATGACAACATCTCTCTGTCTCTTTTGGGTCTTTGTGCTATCCCCACCACTGAGAATGCCAAATTTTGTCTTGAATCCCTAAATAATATATTTTTCTCCTCTAATTAACATTTTCAATTTTATTTCTGAACTCAATTTGGCAACAGCAGATTATAGCAAAACACCGCCCAGAAGCGGCTTGTTGAATGGCAGGCAGGTGTTGATTGTAGTAGCTAGCTATCTTTATTGCAAACAGGGATTATTCATTAGCGTTAAACAAGAAACGACTAACACGATATTGGTACTCCCAGAATAAAGGGCTCGTATCGAATATTTTCAGTTTATTTGTCAATTTGTTATTTTATTTATTCATCCAATTAAATTTCGAGATATATTCACGTGTGGGCGGGGTTTTTTACACCATTTTGAGCAATGATGTCTCCCTACCCCGACCCCGCGAGCAACTCACCTCCCCTGGCCCATGGGTGGTCTTGTCAACACAACAAATAATAGTTTATGAATGGGATGATCCGTCTATCTGTGTTTTGATGTCATTGTACAAGACACATTGTGCGACCAGCGAGAATAAGGCCCTAGATTTAACGTGTATTTTTATAGCAAAGAAACAAAGTAGAGTAGGATTTTTATTGTCACATACCAACTCATACTAGGTATATTGTACGAGCTAAGACATTTAGGATTCCTAAATTAGTAGGTACCTTATTAATCCGACCCTAATAAATTTGACAGTTTCTCAAGTTTGGGTGCAGGAATTTGAAAAAAAAATTCCATATTGTATTTAGTCCAAGTTTTAATTTCTTTATCGAGAGAATCCCCAACCTCAGTGATGTTGCAGTACGTGAAAAATGAATCCAAATTGCGACAAATGTTAACATAAAAAAAAAAATCATGAATATTCTTTTGGGTTTTGTTACATAAAAAATATATTACACAGTGGCACATATTTTGATTTTATGGAAACCCCAATGGGCATAATAATGACTGTGCAAAATTTCTTCAATACCTAAAATAACCATTTTTCTATCATGGGTACTTCCACAAATCACCAGGTGCCAAATTTAAGAATCCAACAGGTGAGCTTTCTAACAAATTGCTCTATGTCATTTGCTTCCAATTCTTATTTCAGTACTCAGGCTACCCAAGCTCTAATTTCAAATGAAGAGGCAGAGAATTACAATGTTAACATGTAAAACAATGTAAAAACAGTCTTTTTAAACTTTATTTTTTGAATTTTTTTCTAAAAATTACAAATATTTATATGAAGCCATACCCCTTATTCACATGGGAATCAGGAATAACCAGCAAAGTAAATGTCTTATGGTCAACAGAAAAATAATTGATATAACAAGTGCCAATGTCCAAAGCCAGTTACAGAAAATTTCAAGGTAAGCTAGCTGGTGATGTCTATCAAACGTTTCCCCTGGTACAATTTCACAAAAGTTTCAACTAAAATTAATAGTGGTTGCCATGATAAGCCAGTTCATTATCATCATGTGTATTCCACTGTATAATTCAATTGTAACAAAATACCCCTATATACAATTATTAAATAATATAAAAACCGAACAACAAAAAAAAGCATTGGCTCTAAGTAATTTTGTGGACCACAAACTCAATTTTGGTGTCCACAAAAACTTATCGGCAAAATATTTTTACGACGAGCTGCACCCGGACGGCCAGTCGTCTGCGTTACTGGACTCCGACGAGTCTGCGGAGCTGTCCTCGCTGGCAGAAACGGAATCCACAGTGAAAAACGACTGGTCGGGTGATCCTTGTACTCTGGCCGATCTCAGTCTACGCCATAACATCCACAGGACCTGCAAAGGAGACAATACTTACTTGAGTATTTTGTGTTAAATTGAAATAAATGAATACTTTGAGAAAAATGTATTAAAAGGACATGTGAACAGATGAAAATTAAATGAATAATAGGAAGGTAGCGGATGTCTAAGTTCAGGTTATATTTTTATCTGTGCAGAATCATCCATGAGAAAGCAGATATGCTAGGATCCAAAGTTACTCAGTCCAGCAAAAAAAAAAAAGATTACAGATGTTATGATTATCATAATAATTAGTTAAATATGTTTTCGAAAAATGTGAAAGTGTATTATATTGAGACATACTTTTATAATATTAATTATTCTAGATATTGAATAAAAATATTACGTTTGTTACCTGGTTCGCCGATCTCGCTTCGTAGCTACCCCAGCCTTCTCTCTTGTTTTCTTTGATTGTCAAACGTAAATCGGGCATTGACGGTTCTTCTTCGCAGGATGGAACCCAGAGCTGAAAACAAAATGTAAAATAACTTTTGATATAATAGCGGTTTGATACAGTAGATGATAATCCCAATGGTTTATTTTATGGAAAAAATATTATTTAGATGTTAACACTGTTGCCACTCTTTGCTAGATTATTTCGTTGGTTTACTGCTATGTTGGCAAAAAGTGGACTGTTCTGTGGGATATCTTGAACCAAGAAACTTCTTAAACACTGGCTAATATGTCATGGATGTGGAGACCATTGACAACTTCAAAACGCTATAACATGTTATCCCATTTTCTGAATTTCTTAAGTCTCGGAATTTAGTATTTGAAGATTTCCTTCATATAGATTATAGACCTTTGATTTTCATATTTGGTAAAGAAGCTAAACCTTCCCTACTAATTTCTTGAAATTATTATTCACTGTTATGAAACTATATATACAGGGTGTCCCACGGTGGATGGCGTATTAGACGTTTATGGAGAACTAAAAAGCGGATCATTTTGAAAATTTGGCAACCGGGATAAACGACCATGATCTACACTTTAAAAATATTTGTGTTTATGCGGTGTTGCCTACTCTAAACCAGATGCAACATCGCTATTTTAAATGAAACACCCTGTATGTGATTGCATATTTGGATTCTACGTAAAATTCTGAGCAGATTTCATGTGATATACCCTATATCTAAGTTCAACTGTTTCGGAAATATTGACAGTTGAAAATTGACTTTTTGCAACTTTGACAGGCTGTAAAACCTAATAGACCTATCTATTTTACCAGACAAAGAGGTAATAATACGAAAACTTCATTAGATAAAAAAAGACACAAAACGTTCATTGCGCAAGACGAGGCAAAACGTACCAAATTATGTTAGACTTACGTATAGCAATCCGTCCTTCTTATTTGCACAGAGTAAAAAGGGAAGGAGAAAGACCGCGTGTTGTGCAACGTATTTGTCAATGAAAATTTCAAACAATTTTTAAATGTCACTTGTCAAGCTATGTCAAGTTGAATAACAACCATACTTTTATTCTTGTCTGACCACGAGTGATGAACAAAGGCAACGAGATTCCCAGCGTGCAAAACGAATACTTCACACCTGTACTAGTTAACCAATGAAAAGGCATTGCCTCGTGTTGCGCGCGCATGCCTGGTAAAAATAGATAGGTCTATTGGTTAATTTTAGAGGAAAACCTATTTCACATTCCTATCTTAGATTTTGATCAACTATCATTTGACACCAACTTTGAACTTAACCAGAGATTAAATTTAACTGGAATTTTTAATCATGGATTTAATTCAAAGTTGGTGTCACATGATAGTTTATAAAAATCTGAGATAGGAATGTAAAATCGGTTTTCCTCTAAAATTAACCGTTCAGGTTTTACAGCCTGTCAAAGTTGCAAAAAGTCAATTTTCAACTGTCAATTGTCAATATTTCCAAAACAGTTGAACTTAGGTATAGGGTATATCACATGAAATCTGCTCAGAATTTTACGTAGAATCCAAATATGCAATCACATACGGGATGTTCCATTTAAAATAGTGATGTTGCCACTAGTTTAAAGTAGAAGCGGCGACACCATATGGTCAAAAATATTTTTAAAGTGTAGATCATGGTCGTTTATCCCGGTTGCCAAATTTTCAAAATGATCCGCTTTTTAGTTCTCCATAAACGTCTAATACGCCATCCACCGTGGGACACCCTGTATATACAGGGTGCTACAAATTGGAGTGCATGCATGGGGATATCGGAAACCATAAGAGATACGAGGTTGGTTAAATTATAGCAAAGTTGCGCAATTTTATGACCAATGAAATTCCGTTTTGAAATTTGAAAAATTCCGAAGATATTTGGAAAAAACCGAAATTTTGCAAAATCATTTTTATTTTTTCCTGACTCTATTTAGAGCAATTTCAAAATAAATATCACTTCATCATTGTCACTTTTTTCCCTTTACCAAATGTTGCTACCAAATTTTAGATTCGACCAGTGGCGTAACTTCAGATTTTGGACCTGGGGGCAGAGTGGTTTGGCGAGGCCCTATTACAATACTCCACTGCAATATTCTGTTTGTCTAAAAGCCGAATTATGGACCGGCTGGTAACATCTCTGGCAAATTTACCCTGCTGGTAAAACTAAAAATTGAAATAATTTTTTTGCAAAAACCGCCTACCATCTTCCACGCTAACAGCTAACACTATCGAGGGCGATTTTACTTTTTGCGAAATACCTAAATTTCCTAAAAAAATTTGGGTAGTAAATAGACAAGGATAATACACACTACTAAGAATTGCTTATCGGCCTCGTTTCTGCTAATCGCCGCCATATTGGTGTGTCACCATTTCTGACGTCATAAATAAGTCATTAGCTGTTTGCACTAGTCGTCGTGGTGTAGAATTTAAAATGAAGAAAATTATTATTTAATTTTGATTAACGTAATAGGCAAAGAGGAAGAAGAAAACGATATCTAAAAAAGAATTGTTTTAGATTATTATTTAATGTAATAAAACCAAGTATGCATAAATCAAGAGCCCGCGGAATCATTACCTGTAGTGCAAACAGCCTACGTCAAGGCGAGAAACAAACATGCTGCCTACGTCACAACTGGTGATTTGGCGTGGTGGGGGGCTTCAGATTTGTTCCTCACAGGCCTTATGAGGATCGGTTATCCTGTAGTAGTAGTGTGTATTATCCTTGGTAAATAGATAGGTAAGTAAGCAAAAGTTTAAATGATTTTCGTATATTCTTGGTTACACTCTGGTTTCGTAAGACATTATTTTGAGAATCGTACGAATATGTTATTCGACTATTACCTCAGATGGGGCCCCGAAGCCTCTGGGCCCGGGGGCCACGGCCCCCTCTGCCCCCTCGGTAGTTACGCCACTGGATTCGACGTTTCGTCTTTGGGCAGCCATCATCAACTTCTTTTTTCTAAATACGGGCCTGGATTTTTTATTTCAGATTTTCAGTCTTTCTGATGTCCCAAAACTTATGACGTATAGCATTTATTCGAAAAATTATTTTTTATTTTTATTATTGTTTAATTTGCTCCACAATATAATTGATTGTCCTTTCCTTTTGTCTAATATTAGCATTCTGGTACCTCGTTTGAATGCCAGACGCTCACTAACCTTCTTTCTCGATACTCCCCGGACAAATGTGTTATTCCAGTCACCATTATACATGATATGTTATACTTTTAACGGGATCTGTGATATCTGTGATATTTATAACAGCCCTATTAGTTTAATTGTTGAAGAGTTAGTGAGAACACATACCTAACTCTACTACAGAGGCAACCTTTTTATACCTTAATTTTTAATTTAATTTTAGTTAATTTTTCCTTTTTTGTTATTTTGCAATTAATTAATATTGATTTTCTTGTAATTGGGCTTCTGGCCTGTTGGAAATAAAGACTTATTATTATTATTATTACTTTTTAGAAATTTCCTACCAAAATTATCTTCTCTGTCTCTCTCTAACACATTAGGTTCTTATGGAAAGTGCCAATAATATAAATTTTTCGAATAAGTGCAATATCTCATTGGTTTTGGGACATCAAAAACTCTTAAAATCTGAAATAAAAAATCCAGGACCGTATTTAGAAAAACGAAGTTAATGATGGCCGCCCAAAGACAAAACGTCGAATCTGAAATTTGGTAGCAAAATCTTGTAAAGGGAAAAAAAGTGACAATGATGAAGTGACATTTCTTTTGAAATTGCTCTTCAAATAGACTCAGGAAAAAATAAAAATGATTTTGCAAAATTTTGGTTTTTTCCGAATATCTTTGGAAGTATTCGGAATCGTTCAAATTTCAAAACGGAATTTTATTGGTTATAAAATTGCGAAACTTTGCCATAATTTAACCAACCTCGTATCTCTTACGGTTTCTGATATCCCCATGCATACACTCCAATTTGTAGCACCCTGTATACAGGGTGAGTTACTAAGCACATGGTGGTCCATATCTCCTATACTAACGGAGATCGAAGAAAAAACTGAATACAAAACTTGTAGATAAACATGAGTACTACATTCCTAAATTATTTTCCAGTATACATGGTGGCCCAATAACTAGTAGTGGCACAAAGTTATGTTTTTTTTAATGACTCCCCCTGTATATTATGACATTTCTGGATTCGAAAAACGTAGGCAACTTCAACTTTTTTCCATGGAACACCCTGTATATTATGCAATAAAATTAAAGGTCTTTTCTTCCTGATTCCAAATATATATATATTGAGCACATTTGAGTGAGCCATTTTTGAAATATTTTAGTTTTAATTTGCAAAGAAATTTCATAAGGATGTCAAGACATTTAAATCTTCATAAAAATCCTTTGGATTTTATTTAAAATTTAAGCTAAGATATATCAAAAACGACTCACTCAAATATGATCAGTATATACAGGGTGTATATTTTAAGTGCTACCACTATTGCTATATCCGAAACGGTAAGAGCTACAATGTCGGTTAAATTAGAAAAAAGTTGCCTCTTTTGATGCCTAGTTAAGAATCGTTTACAGTGTTGCCAAATTCTTTTTAGTTTATGAAATACAGGGTGATTTCTAAGAAATGCCCAAAAATATTTCATCAATTATTTCGATAACTATTGATTTTTGGAACACACTTTAAATTTGAAAGTTTTATAATTTTTTTTTCTCTACCACATGGTAACTTCAAATTTTCAATCCGACGTTTCGTGACCGAGCTACCATCATCAACTTCATTTTTTTAAATACGGACCTGGATTTTTTATGTCATTTTTACGAAGGGAGTAAAGGGCAGTTTATAAAAATGACATAAAAAATCCAGGTCCGTATTTAAAAAAATGAAGTTGATGATGGTAGCTCGATCACGAAACGTCGGATTCAAAATTTGAAGATACCATGTGGTAGAGAAAAAAAAATTATAAAACTTTCATATTTAAAGTGTGTTCCAAAAATCAATAGTTATCGAAATAATTGATGAAATATTTTTGGGCATTTCTTAGAAATCACCCTGTATTTCATAAACTAAAAGGAATTTGGCAACACTGTAAACGATTCTTAACTGGGCATCAAAAGAGGCAACTTTTTTCTAATTTAACCGACCTTGTAGCTCTTACCGTTTCGGATATAACAATAGTGGTAGCACTTAAAATATACACCCTGTATATATTTGGAATCAGGAAAAAAAGATCTTTAATTTTATGGCATAATATACAGGGTGTTTTATTGAAAAAAGTAGAAGTTGCCTACGTTTCTCCATTTTCCGATTCGATTTTGTTTTTTCTGATACCTACTGTCAAAAGAAAATATAGAAAAAAACTGTCAAGTTTTGTATTTAAAATTTTTTCCTATCTTAAATAGTAAAGGCTGTAGGTATGGTGCCAAATATAATCAAATACCCTGTACATGAAATGTGTCTAGAATTTTCCGCAGAATCCAGAAATGTCATAATATATAGGGGGAGTCATTTAAAAAAACATAACTTTGTGTCACCACTAGTTATTGGGACACCCTGTATACTGGAAAATAATTTAGGAATGTAGTACTCATGTTTATCTAGAAGTTTTGTATTCAGTTTTTTCTTCGATCTCTATTAGTATAGGAGATATGGACCACCGCGCGTAGTAACCCGCCCTGTATATATGTCGTTTTAGAACGTCTTTCTTCATTGTCCGACACCTAATTTCCATTCTCACTTTATGAAACTATGATTGCTAAAGGCAAAAGTACTTCTATGCCACATATTTTTTGATAGAATCATTTTCATACACAATGAGCTTCAAATTAGGATTTTTGGATCTTTATTCAATCACACACTCAACAGTATCAAAATTGCTTACCTTAATGTCCCAATCGAGCCCGCTCGATGCCAAAAATGGCAACTCGGGATGAGCTTCCAGACAATTCACGACTCCATTGTCGTCGGCCAATAAGAATTGAACGATAGCTTCAGTTTGCTTCTCCCAGAAAAAAACGTGACTGCAATCGGAGCCGCTCATAATAAATTCGGACTTGGGTCCGAAAAAGGAAACACCCTAAAAGGAAAATGTAATTAGTACAGGTCTTTGTATAGTCAAATAGTGAAAAGAATAGACAATACATCTAAAAAAGAAAACAGCAGTAGACTAATACTACTACTATTACTACTACTACTACTACTACTACTACTACTACTACTACTACTACTACAACTATCTACTGCAGATTCATGAAGTCATATGTATATTTTATTTATTGTTCTCTACCAACTATATATTACTTTGATTGTAGCTGAATTTCTGTGCCCTGTGTATTTATGCATATATTGTCCTGGCTCTTTGTTGGTATCAAACAGGAATATATCGTCATCATTGTAGGAAGTCAACAGTTCGCTACCATTGTAGTTGTAGACGGCGCAAGTAACCTGCATGCCTTTAATGAACCTGGCATCTGACTCTTTGTAGGGAAAAAACGCGGTCTTTGGCTTGGAAGCGTTTCTTTGGTCATATACTCTAACCTATTAAATTTAATAAATATAAAATTCCATATTATCCTCAATGGAAAATACTTACAGCAACATCCCCTCCAGCAACGCAAAATTCGTGGCTCTGCAAAGGATGGGAATGTATGCTATACAACGATACAGAATTAACTTTGTCTTTGACGTGAACAAGTTTTTCAGGGATATTACTTCTAAGGTCATGGTTGAAAACGACACCATCTTCGCCGGCGCTTAGAATTGTATGAGGTTGATCTTTGAGCACGGATAGTTTGTGACATGGACCGCCATGTTTGCCTAGTTTTCTGCCTTCTCTAACACCATCATTAGCAACCTAGAACAAACAATAAGTATTAATATATACATAAATGAGGAAACTATGAGGAATTATTAGACAAAATATTTACCTGTACATAACACACATTACCATCTCTGCCACAGGTAGCCAAATGTATATCAGGACCATTAAGATGTAGGAACTTAGTTTGAAATATGTTTTTTCTGTGAGGGGTATTAATTTTTACAAGACTTTTACCAACTTTCCAATCCCACAACAAAATCTGAAATCAGTAAAAATTCATAAGGATTTTAAATCAAATGAATAATATCTTACCTTTAAATCATCTGAACCGCTAGCTAAATATTTACCATCCGAACTAAAATTAAGACTATTTACACAACCTTCATGGTCTTCTAATTTGTACATGAGCTCTAGTTTTTGTACATTAGTCAGGGAGCCGTAGCAACGTTGCTGGAAAAGACTGGGGTGTGCTTTTCTTGCTCCATAGCCGATTTGTCTATTAATAATTTCTGGAACGTAGAAAAACGTATGTTTCGGTTTTTCTTTTTTCAATATAGCATCTACCGCCTCGTCGACATCGGACATCCAACCAGAATTGCCGGATCCGTTCATACTCTCGTAGGCGCTATGCGCGTCCGAGTCGTTGGAATCATTTGCGTCCGATGATTCCGGTATACTGTAACTTGTAATAATTAGTTAAACAAATACAGACAGAGTACAAATTTCCATATTTGTCATAATTCTGACATAAAGAAATATTATTGGACGTCCAAATATATAAAAGCTTCCAATCCTGTAATAGTAAGACCGAGGAACTTTGTTCAAGTTTAGAAAAAGGGGTAACCCACTAGTGGAAATCATTGTAATTTTCTTTTGGGAATCACATAGAAATCAATCAGGAATACATGGAAATCACTTGGGAGTCCCTGGGAATCACATAGAAATCCATTGGCAATCGCTGACAATCATGTGGTAATCGCTGGGTATATCATCTCATTCTTATCCAGAAATCGCATATCATAAATTTTAAACGATACAGTGTCAGTTGTGTATTTACCTTTAGGCAATATTCAGTTCTAGACAATTTGCTCACAAAAAAACGTACAGTGATTTCCAGTTTCTGGGAATACTTCTCTAATTTGTACAGTATTTCCCTTGGTATTTCCAAGTATTCTCCCTCATATTCCCCGGTATTTTCAAGTACGGTCAACTTTTTAAGCCAGGTTTGTACTTAGCTTAAAATTGCAAGTAATGGAAATAAGAGGAAAAGATATATTGTCAGTAGCAAGATAAGGCAGTGGAGAAATATATGGATGAAGTAGATAAACTGTCAACTGTGCTCAACGCTGGACCTAATGCAGAAATGGAGATATGTATTACTTACAGAGAAAATAGGTTTCATTTTTTGTTCATTTTATCATTTTTATTAAACATTATTTTCTCACCACTTGTATACGTTACAATATGTTCCAGTCTCCTCAGAATTATCACTACGTGAATGCATAGGAAAATAGGGGTCATTGTTTCAGTTGCCTCAAAATTAGGATAATTGGAAAAGTAGACAAAAAAAAAATTGGAACACTTAACCAGATCAAAGTGGAACACTGAACCAGAACAAACATGCACGCAATTCTTGTGATTTTAATGAAAATGCACAAAAATAAGTTAAAAGTGGGGTTGGCAGTTATAGAAATTTACAAGTACTTCCATGTATGTATTTCCAAATTATGCCCATATACTTCCATAGTATTTCCAAGGATTTCCAAGTACTCCCAGAGTATTACCAAGTATTCTTAGGTATTCCCAGCAAAGTGTACAAGGATTTCCATGAGTGATTTACCCCTTGGGTTGACCCCTTGTGGAAAAGTAATGATGGGTAAAGAAATTTCGGAAAGTTTCAATACATTTCATTGACAGTATAAAGACATTGCAGAAAGTATAACTCACACTAAAACTAACACTGAACCAAAACGAACATGCACGCAACTCTTGTGATTTTAATGAAAATGCACAAAAATAAGTTAAAAGTGGGGTTGGCAGTTATAGAAATTTACAAGTACTTCCATGTATTTCCAAATTATTCCCATGTACTTCCAGAGTATTCCCATATAATTCCATAGTATTTCCAAGGATTTCCAAGTACTCCCAGAGTATTACCAAGTATTCCTTGGTATTCCCAGCAAAGTGTACAATGATTTCCATGAGTGATTTACCCCTTGTGGAAAAGTGATGATGGGTAAAGAAATTTGGGAAAGTTTCAATACATTTCATTAATAGTATAAAGACATTGCAGAAAGTATAACTCACACTAAAACAACTAAAGAAACTTTGGAAAACATAAGTGTCCAAAGTATAATGGAGAAATTCGGTAAATTAGAAATGCGCGACCTGTGGAGAATTATCAGAACAATGAAGAACAAAGAAAGTAGCACGGATCGCATTAGTGTTGGTTTACTCAAAGCAGTTTTTGAGACAAAATTCTAAACCTAATTAATAATTATAGAAGGAAATGGGAAGATTAATATTATGGTGCCTATAGAAAAGAAGAATGCTATTATACGATGTGAGGAGTTTAGACATGATTCCGTCATATGGAAAATTATTGGAGCTGTGTTTTAATTAGCAGATAATTCACTAAATAGAAACAAACATTATTTCTACAGAATATCGAGCAGATTTTAGAAGCAATCTTGTGATAGTGCTCTGCAAACTGTTCTGTTTCACCGCAAAGGGAAAGATGCTTTACATGAAGGGAAACTGTAGTGTTTCTAGACTTTAAACGTGCCTTCAAAAGTATAGACAGAAACATACTATTGCTTAAAATGGAAATATACGGTTCTGGTCAGTCTATTTTACAACGGTTTGAAGACTACTTACTTGAAAGAAAACAAATGACAAGATATGGAGGTATTTCATCTATGAAACTTGAATATGGTGTGCCACAAACAAGACCACACAGTACTCACGAAGGACAGTACTTCATTCATACTACTCGCTTCATATTGTATATTAATGACATTATACAGGTAATTGAAAAATGCAAAATACAACTGTTTACTGACTGATGACACAATAATTTATGTCGTACGGTAGAAGATATAACTGAAATTTTGAATGATGAGAGAGTGTCGCAAATTAAATATGTGGGGTGTATAATAGAGACAACTCTGTGTCATTTTCTGAGCATTTTAAGTTTATAACTAGTAAAGTAGCAAGGCAGATTAATGTGTATGTCAAGAATTTCAAGTAAATGGTGAAAATTAACAGCATAAAAAACAATTTCCTCATTTCTATGTTTGCTCCACATTGCTGTTTCTAATGAATGTGGCACTACAGAAAAAAAACAAAATAAAGCTATGCGAATTATACTAGGCTGTAACCGGTATACCAGAAGGACTGACATGTTAGAATCAACTAAGTTACTAAGTGTTAGGCAAACTGTTACTTGTAATACCATGATATTTATGAATAAAATGTTAAATAATATGTTGCCAGATCATTTACTTAGTAATAATTGTAGATTTGTTAGGGATGTACGATGTACCTACATGATAAGGTACATGAACACTACACTTGTTCAAGAAATAATTTTTATCTGTCAAGAGTCAGTTCTAATGTAGATAAAGACTCCCTATACTATAAAGGATTGATGCAATATAATAAGTTACCCAAGGGGTAAACCACCATCCCAGAATTGGTGCGAACAATTCCTCAAAGAGGAAATTTTTACGCATAATTCCTCGAAATTCCTGCAAATTCCTCCAGATACTCCACAAATTCCTCAAAAAAAAGGAAAATTTTGAAACTTTTTGCATGCAAAGAGGAAGGTGAGATCATTTTCCCAAAATTTCAAATTTTTCCAGAGGAAAACAGCAACATGAAAAATCTTGGAAATCAACCTACAAAAACTGAATTAAATGAAAATACAGTCTCACACATTTCAAAGTTTTCCTGGAAAACTTGTGAAGGGAAAATTTTGAAATTTTTTGCATGTAAAGAGGAAGGTGAGAACATCACTCGGAACATCATTTTCCCAAAATTTTAAATTTTTTCAGTAGAAAACTGCAACATGAAAAATCTTGAAAATCAACCTAACAAATTGATTTAGTTGAAAATACAGTCTCACACATTTCAAAGTTTTCCTGGAAAACTAGTGAAGGAAGAAATTTGAAACTTTTTGCATGCAAAGAAAGAGGAAGGTGAAAAGCTCATTTTCCCAAAATTGCAAATTTTTCCAGTGGAAAACAGCAACATGAAAAATTTTGGAAATCAACCTACACAAACTGATTTAGTTGAAAATAGTCTCACACATTTCAAAGTTTTCCTAGAAAACTAGTGAAGGGAAAATTTTGAAACTTATTGCATGTAAAGAGGAAGGTGAGAAGCTCACTGTCCCAAAATTTCAAATATTTTCAGTGGAAAATAGCAACTAGGGTTGCCACTTTCTTTAAAAGTGAAAAAAGGATATTTCAAAAAAAAAATCTTAATGCAAGTAAAATGGTCGCGAAAGGGAGCTAAAAAAAATTAATATTTAAGCTCATCTCGAAAAATAGTGGTACTTGGTGGTACTATAGGGCACTCCAACGAACTGTCAAAAATGGAATAAATATGGCTTCTGTTGGATAAACAAACCTAAGTTTACCGTATCCTTTTGGAAATTTGAGGTATTCCAATACAATTTTGTTAATTTTATGTATTGTAATGCCCGCATTTTGCTGTATGGTAAATTGTAGCAGTAGTGCTAGTTGCTTGGCAATCCTCAATCCTCAGAGTTCTCGACTTGTAATTAAATAGGTATAATAATCGCCTATTTTTTAAATTTATATGTCTGAGTAGTTTGTTATATTATAAAACAAAAGATATAACATGAGTGAAGTCATGGTGAAGTCAGTTCAAAATATGAAAAACGCAATAAAATTATTAGGAAAAAATTTAAAACGCCTTTTCGAATAGAACTAAATAGCACAAAGTATATGGGCAACCGGCTGGTTTCTCCTGCAGCGGCCATTAAAACCAATTTTTTGGACTACCCTATTGAAATAGTTTTTAAAAAGGACATTTTAAGGTTTAAAAAGTCACAAGGACAATTTGTTTGAAAAAAGGACAGGTGGCAACCCTAATAACAACATGAAAAATCTTGGAAATCAGCCTACAAAAACTGGATTCATTATTCTTTTGAATTCTTCAAATTTGACAATTTCCTTTAAATTCCTCATAAATTCCCTCGTAAATTCCTCACAAATTCTTCCAAATTCCTCATAAATTCCTCTAAATTCCCCACATTTTTGGCAAAGAATTCCTAGGTGGTTTTCCGCTTGGAGTTACCTACCTGTGTGTTTAAAAAACTAAGTGAATTTTATATTAACTAGCTTTGTCCACAAAACAATTTGTACTGCTTTTATGACAATAAAGCACATTATCTTATCTATGTATACGGATTCATAAAGTTACATTCCAGCCCTGGAATGTTTATTGCAATGTGAAATACTATTAATCTATTGATATTCAACTTTTACGTTATCATTGCAATTATATTTTAATCAATGTAAAATAGATAAGAATTTGGCATTACCTATACATAGTAATATAGTGATGCAACTTGGTAATACTAATAATTGTTGGAATAGGCCAATCATTAAACAAGAATCTCTTACCTAGACCTAGGTGAGGATGAATTTGTGGTTTCTCCAGAGCTGTGGCTTTCTCCAGTGTAGAGATTGGGTTCCGGGTATGTAGCAGGTACGCCACTGTCGCTACTAATGCTTAGGCTGCCTCCAACAAACGGACTTGAATTGGAGCATTCTTCGGAAGTGCCTCCAGAGGTTGGACTCTCTGCGTTCTTACTGTTGCTGTCAGTTACAAAGTTTTCTGCGACAACTAAGCCATTTGAGTTGTCAGAAGAATTGGAGCAATCTTCTTTGTTACTGTGGTCGTCAGGTACGGAGTTTTCAGCAAAAGCTAAGCCGTTAGAGGTGGAGTCAGCTTCCTGATTGGAAATCATCCGAATGCGTTTGGCTCTATCCTCTCGCTCATGCTCTGTGGGATTCTCATCCGTATTCTCCTCTGGCACATTATTTTCATCCATGGTCTAAAAATACACCAAACAAAAACGCAATTATCAGGTGAATTTTGGTTCAGTTATCAAATTGCATTGCTAAACCAGTCGGGCCAATAGATGGGTATTAACAAATACTATTGTTTTTAGATAATTTTGGCACAAATAGAACGGGATTTTTCTTTTTCGTTTCGCTCGACAGTACGTTTCAACTCAACTTGAAATCAAATAAATCTTGAAATGAAAACACAACACACACCACAACACATATGATGCCAAATTTCGACTGTCAAGTGTCTAGTGTCTGTCAGAACTCAGAAACAAATCGAGGACTTTTTAGTGCTGAGTTCGGCTAATCGACAATCGACAATAGAGACAAAATGTCAATGTTTTAAACAATGAACTATAACCAAAAACTGGAATGCTAACACATAAGGACGAACTTGAAGCCTAGTGCGGCTGCTGCGGAGGGGATACCTGTTTTTGTCGCACTCATTATGTTAAATGGCGAAAATTGCTTCCAACACGTATTCCAATTGATGAAACCTGTGAAGGGAAATATGACAAAACTTTCGAAAACGTCATATGTCAGCGAGCAACAGAAAAAAACAACATTCCCCCTTGTGGCATCTGTCTTTCATGGCTTCATTTTTTTGGCAGATATGGCAATGTGTGCGCATTCCAGTTTTTAGCTATAGTTCATTGGTTTTAAATGATCATGCACCTTCATATTTCTCTATTTCAGCTTTTGAAGGTTCTTTATTTCGAGTATTAGGCAATCCAAACCATCTGTCAAAAAAAAAAATCAATATGGCGTGAAGGCCAAGCAAGTTTATTTTGAATGTGTGTTTTTATGCGTATTTTAATTATTTTGCTTCGAGTTTTGCTTGCAACTTTGATTTTGATAATCTAATAAATAATAGTAGATTAGGTATATACCTAGGTAGAGAAGTTGGTCATTATAATGCGTAAGGTATGTAGGCTGTGGTTGTACCCATACTTATACAGGGTGGTCCATTTAAATTGAGACATTTCAATTTCAATATTTCGAAAATGGCGCGTTTTTGAAAAAAAAAAGTTCAATAATGTCTTAAGTTCAATGGCCCACCCTGTATACCTATTGTATATCGTGTGCTAGAAACTTAAAATTACCAATTTTTCATTGAATATGAAAATTTTGCAACTAAATAAAAGAAAAAGTAAAGTCTGTTTTTTTTTTTGAAGATAATTCCCCAAGTCAAAAATTTAGTCCCTAACTATAACACAAGCCTTCTCTACATAAAAAATTTGAAAGCATCGTAAATTTAACATTGTTTTGTTTTGCGAACATAATGTCATTTTGACTTTTATCTTTAAAAAAAAAAAACAGAGTTTAAAAATTTCGCTTCCGCTTCTACCCTTTTGCGAACTAAAATAGAAAATTTCCTCAAAAAAGCAAAACAGAGATAATTCCGTCAAGCTGGCAACACTGTGGCTGACTCGTTATTAAACGCAAGGATATCAACAAAGCATTTGATAGGTTGGATCTAGGCCCCGCCCCTTTCCAATCAGATGCGAGTGATATCAGCAGGGCATTTAATTGGTTAGTTGAGCCCCGCCCCTTTCCGGGATTTATGTATCGTCAAGGTATTTGATTGGTTGTTTCCTTTTCAACCCTTTCCGAAGGCCCCGGCCCACCTACAGTGAATTCACCTTTTCAAATAGAAATTCGGTACCGCCGCGCTATATTCTTGCAAATTTTGAATATGAATATAGAAGTTAGCCACGCCCCTGCCGCCATATTTTTGCAAATTTTTTGATGTTTACTCAGGTAGGTATTATTATTATTATCTAAGTATATATTTATTTTGAAATAGTAGTCCATGTCTCACAGTGAAGAGAATAGTTAAAGAACTGGAGTAAAACACACAGTCTATCTTCACTCTTTATTTTACAAAAATAATCAGTTGGAAGGGGGGTTATACATGTTTCGGATCTATCATAGATCCATCATCAGCATATAAGTTCAAATGGCATAGGGAAAATATGGTCATATACGATATGCCTAAGTATAATAATTATACCTATACATAAAAATATAAGTGTTCATGCTATTATCAGCATAAAGTTGGTGGCTAAAGCCGCATCCAACACAGAACACATTTACAAAACAAAGGTGAAGATTGAAAAAATTATTTTATTAACATTAGAAAATAGGACTGCCACACAAACACAGAATATGCCTATAGGAGGCGGAATTCTGGACACTCATCTGTACTTCTGGATGTTAGTGGGTGTTAGCTGTTAATCAAATTTCAAAAATTTATACCGGGTGCCCACGAGATTTCTTTCCGGCTGCCATTTTTTTATTTGTTTATCGATATCAACGATGTGGTATATTTATTTATTCTTTATTTTCCAATTATTCCATCTCATATTTTATCTATTCCCGGATCTTGAATTTACGTTTTCTTTCTAATTTTTCTAATGGTCATTTCCGCACCAACTATTTTAGGGAAACCCTAACAATAGGTATGCCTTAAACTGACATTTCTCCATGTAAAAATGTCATTTATTAGGGAATACTTATCGTTAGGGCTCCCCTAAAATAGTTGAGATTTATAATGCGTGATGCGTGAGGTAAAGTGTGTTTTTTTTTTTAAAGAGAATTTCATACATCTGTCAAAACTGGTATTCCAACAATAAATAATTGACATGTTTTGATTGTTGATTTGAACCAATCAGATTAGGCATGATGACAAATTTTGAAAAACTATCCTATAATGTTCGGAAATGTATATTATTCACAATGAATAACATATCTCTGCAGATAATAAAGGTTTTAGTAGAAAAAATTACATCTTAGTTTTTATATTCAAAATTCGCGCCAAAACGCTTCTCAGTGTCATGGCGTCATTCGTGACGTCACGTTTGAGTAAACAAAACCTAAACGCTCATTGAAAATTTGAATAATTTGATATTTTGTGTAATTAAATATGAATTCCAAAATGTACAAGTGGTGTGCGGTTCCTCATTGTGATAACACATCATTAAAAACTCCTGGAAAGTTATTTGCCTTCGTTCCACAAAATAAAACGATAAGGGACAAGTGGCTTAAACTTGCAATGCGAGATTCAACAGCAATATTGCCTAGAACTTACCTTTATTTTTGTGAAAACTTTCAACGCAAATTTACTTCGTAGATTTTAAAATAGTATGTATCTTGTTTGAGGTCTACCATTTCTTGATTCTTTTCTGCTTAATCTTTGTTTCATGACTCGCGTTATTTCACTTTTGATTCAATATTCGGTATAAACAACACACGGTATAAACAAAATTGAGTCGCAAATTAAATCGCAAGAAAATCACGGAACCAGTCGTTTGTTAACTGATTAAAGCTTAGTACTCATAACTGCGAAATTCGCATTTTTTGACATTGCGTTGACAATTTGACGTTTTATGCATGTATCAAACTTCAAATTGTCGAAGCAATGTCAAAAAAAAGCGAATTTCGCAGTTATGAGTACTAGGCTTTACTCTTGATTTACTCAAAAGTAACGTAATTCGTTCTTATTGGCGTTTAACATAATAATATGGCGGACCTTCGTATTTTGCAGTTTTATTTTATCAAAATAATCATCAATCTGGCTCCTAATAAAAAAATAAATGCGTGTTTCGTATTCCATGAGTCAAGTTTCATCAAGTGAAAACACAATTTAAGTGATTTTCAATTACTGTCATCATGCCTATTGCATACTAACTGGTGCGAAAACTGGTGTTTTGACATTTCTTGACAAAAAATTTCATAAATTTTTGATTTATGAAATTCTCTCATCAAATAAAATCTGTTTTTTTTTTAAAGATAATTCCCCAAGTCAAAAATTTAGTAACTATGTTGGCAACGCAAGCCTTTTCTACATGAAAAATTTGAAAGCATTGACAATTTTACATTGTATTGCCAACATAATGTCATTTTGACTTTTATCTTTAAAAAAAAAACACACACTTTACATCTCGTGCAATGGAAATATATTTATAATTATCCACAAATTTGCACTCATGCGTTTTTAACTGAAAAAGGCACTCGTGCTCTTTTTCAACTAAAAATGCATTTGAGCAAATTTCCCAAAAATTATCAATAATTTCCATTGCACTAGTTATATTACTATTAATAATTCCCCAAGTCAAAAATTTAGTAACTATGTTGGCAACACAAGCCTTTTCTACATAAAAAATTTGAAAGCATTGACAATTTTACATTGTATTGCCAACATATTGTCATTTTGATTTTTATCTTAAAAAAAAAAACACACTTTATATAATGACTTTCTCTACCGAGAAATGATGAGAAACCGTGGAAAATGAATAATTTGTAATCTGTGCTCTAACTTTTTTTTTTGAACCCCCTTTTTAAAGTGGTGTCCTCTATCAACAGCTTATGATGACTTCCTATGTACAGGGTGGCCCAAATTCGAGCCTCATTATTGGGATCTCGGTAACCGTAAGAGATACGGGGTCGGTTAAATTATGGCAAAGTTGCACAATTTTATGACCAATAGAGTGCCGTTTTGAAACTAGGAACTATAAGTCCAAATGAATTGAAATTTCCAGGGATTGAACTCCTCTACCGAAATAAGAATCCCTGAAACTGTCAGCTTTCTATCTATATTAGAAAAAAAGTTATGACCATTCAAAGTTTTCCAAAATCTAAATCATAACCTTCTTAATAAAATGATGAAATTTCAATTTTTTTGTCGAGATTTTGTATCCTAAAGGTCAATCAACATCCCCCAAACTCCATACACTAAATTATTCTCAGATTTGAAGCCGAAATCTATGAAAAAGGGCGCTCAGAAAAATTGAAAAATTGATAAATAACCCCAAATTGCTTGTCTGACAGAAACTAGGTATGTTAGTAGTTTTTTGTGTTTTTTGACCCATGTGTGGCTTCCACGCCATCTTGAATGTCATGTGGTTTGGATTGCCTAGACAAATATTGAACAGGAAAAATTAAGAAACGATACATCTTCGATGAAGGTGCATATGTGCATATGAATGCCACTGTTTTAAATGATCATGCATATTCATATTTGGTCTATTCCAGGCTCTTGAAGGTTCTTAATTCCAAGAGCCGGTGATAGACAAATAAGTATTAAAGGGGGTGTGACCTAAAAATGAAAATTTTAGTACAAAAAAATCAAATAATAAATATTTAAACCGCATCTTGCATCTTGCTACGATGGTCCGTTTTCGAGTTAGGGCGGTTTAAAGTTATAACTAGGCGTTTGTGACGTCACACTGGATTATCAGGGACAGTATTAACAATAGGGAACAATCATATTTTTCAAATTATTTTTTTTCTTATTGCTTATGTTTTCAAATATAAAATACATATGTTTTCTTTTCGATTATGTCCTTATTAAAATAAAAAGAATTTATAAAATTTCAAATTATTTCCGTTGGCGCGAAAACGATTACCTTCAAGATGTCGGTACTTGTGACGTCAACTGTTTGTAAATACAACGTTAAGGTTTGTCCTCGCAAGAGTCCCTGACACTTTGCAAACTGTCACTCGTACCATCGACTGCATTGAATCTTTGCATGGAATGTGATTTTTACGTGGTGTTTCTGTATTTAGCGTATTGTGACATTTTGTGTTTCAAGTTTGTCATGATTGATACAGGATTTACAGAAGCGCAGTCTGATAATCCCTCTATAGACCCCTTTGAATATAAAACTATATTCAAAGATAGACCCATTTATGGTGATTCAATATCAGTCGTGACATGACGTGAGCTGATCGTGGACCAATCGTTCTTCAGGACCCAAGAGTGAACCATGAAAGCGTAGACCACGTTCGTTACTCACGGTCAGTGTAAACTACCCTTAACCTTGGTTTATGAACAGTTGACGTCACCAAAAGCGGCCATGTTAAACGTAGCTTTTCCGTGCGAAACCTTTCAATTTAAAACTATTGATTGCTGTATGACTATAATATCGATAAATTTAATGCGAAACTGCTCATATTCAGTATTTTACAGAAAAATGTGCACCATAGAAACAAAATGAACCATATTTATTTCTTATGAGAATTCCCTATTGTAAAAGTTTTCCAAAACAAAAGACAATTATCTCGTAGAGCGAATTGCAACCACTCGAAGTATAGGGTACGGTTTAATGACCACTGAACGAACAGAAGTCTGCGATTTCGGCGGTTGTGACATCACAAGTTCCTGCATAATTTATCTTCATTAGGGGTTTTCTCGAAAACTATTTTGAATATAGGACTGCGGTTTTCACGAGAGATCTTAGAATTTTTTTCTTGATTTAAGTAGCTTAAGTTGTTTTTTAGGGTCACACCCCCTTTAAGCAGGAAAAACACCCCACGTCAAGGCGAAAAGCGACACGCTGTTACGTCATCACTGGTACTTTAGGGTGATTTACTGATCGAAAACCCAAAAATTTATTATAATAATAATTATTAATAAAGTTTTTGCAAGCAAATAGGCAGAGAAATCCAATAAAAAATGAACCCCAAATTACAGAAACCTGAATCTTTCTGTTAGATATGTGAGAAACTATAACGGTATGAACTGTTAAAACCAAAATTATCGGTCCGAACCAAGCGACGTATCGACATTTTCAGTGTATCGACAGGCATCATGTATCCCTAATAACCTTGCGTTCGGTATTTTGCTCGAAGAGCAGAGCGTGCAGAGCGGAGCCGTAATCACGTGACCAGCGAGCGAACAGAGCAGTTGAACGCTGTATAAAAGTGCCAGAAATTTTAATAAACGAACGCGAATGAGGATACACCGAGTACACTTTTTGAATAAACGAACGGTAAAGTCAAGCTCGGAGAACTCAGACCAAAATAACGAACGCACGGTAAGAAACGATGACGTCTTGACGTTTACTTGCTTTTTCTTCTAACCTCACTTTTGTAATTTTTCAACTTTTATTTTTCAAAATTATTTTAATGAATTAAAAATTCCAATTTACCATAATACAAAATGACTCTATATCATTTTGGAAATTGTGTAGCGCTCGTATACGTTCCCTATTACCTTGCCTACAAACATTCAGGCCTGTGAGTAACTTTTTGCGAAAATTGATAAGGAGGGCTATTCCTATAGCATATAAACAAACATTGATTTTCTAGATCCGAATATGGGGCTTTTTGGAAATGCGTACAAGCTGGAATGATTTATATGTTCACACAACTAATAAAAATGATGGTACTTGCCACCTTTTTTCCTGATAACGTTGAAGAATTTGGTAGCTATTTGATTGGGGTAAGGGCCATTTGCTCTACAGTCTACAGTCATTATTCAATTACTATTTTTTCCAGGACTTTTTTAAATATACTGTAGATATAGCCGATTTAGTAGGTTTACATTTTGTTCTCGATGGTATTCCTGGTAAAGGACATAGTAAAGTTCTTACAGCAGGAATCGGATGGGCCACTGCAGAGGTAACAAAAATAATGAATGAGAATTTCAAAATAATACATATTTTCTCTAGGTTATCTTATCTAGAGCTCTTCTATTGTGGGTTGGAGCACGTGGAGCAGAATTCGACTGGATATACATCCAAAAATGCCTGGAATCCAACATCCTTCTTGTCCAACACATTGCCACAGCGACTTTGATATGGCTAAGGTCAAGACACAACTTGAATAACAATTTAAAAACTGTTGTCACTATTTTATTAGTATTAAGCTGCTATAAGTCTTTATTGTTCGAGTCTTTAATACACATTTTAAAACTTGGCACTTGGCTGGGATTGGTTGTTAAAGGGGCATTTACTTTGGCTTATGGGCTGTTTAGTTTGAGTATTTATGCAGGAATGGCGGAGCTTATGGGGATTTATTGAATAATATTTAGTGATTTCTTTATAAATGGTCTAATAAATAAGTAATTAATACAAAGGTCTTGTTTCATTTTGCAAGAAACATGACATGAATTCTATGAATATTAAGTTTATTTTTTTGTGCTGCAGGGTTAAATGTCCACAGACAGTTCTATCTATTTGATTGTATCATGTTAAATTATTAGGGCTGAATGTCAAAGGGATACTTTTACAGAAAATCAATAGATTAACAAGATTTACTTAAAGAAAATCCAATTAATGACTGAAACAGCATGCAATAATCTGATAATTATTAGTATGAGTGAGTGTGGCGCGAAATCTGTAACAAGAAATCAATTAACTTTTTCAATCAAGCCGAAAACCATCGCACATCCTTGATAATTATAGGAAAACAATGGGAATGTTACAGAACCGTTCCGGCATGCGCGCACGTAGCCCCACAATCCTTGAATTTAACTCTGTTGCCACATTCGAAAATATTTCCTGCTTCGCTTCGGATGTTTCGTAGGAGCCTCGAAACAGCAGGACGAATTCCTGCAGGATTTGGCATCGACGCTAATTTTGGAAGCAGCAGCATTAGCAGGGGAGCAACAAGCCCGGAGTGAATATACAGCAGAGCAGACGAAGATGGTGATTTTCGCGGAAAATGAAAATATACTTCGTGTCGAAATTTCCACATAAATAGGCAAAGAAAATTTTTATGTTTCAAGTATAAGTTGATTTTGCCTCGCGTTTGATTCAAGTGAAGTGCGGACAATTCACTTGTAAATGTTTGATTGACTGAGCTTTAATTTTCCCGGGATAAAAAATAATAATAATTATTATTAAGTGAAAATGGCAAGAGCGATAGCTCCTTTGCACAATGCTGTCTCTATAAAAACCATCGAAGTCCCTCAGGCATTAATAAACGGGGAAAAGTTTATCAAATGGGAGGAGGTAAGTCCAGATTTTATCTAATAGCATTCATGCAAAAATAATTATTTCTCAATTAAGTAATACGTTATCAAAAAATTGTTTATGTTTATTGTTTATCAACGTCATCATTGCACATGTTATTAGGTTTCATTAAGCAATAACAATTTAATCTTTATGGATATTTATAGTGTGACTCAATACCTATAATAATTGATATTCTCTAGATAAGATTATTTTTATTTATAAACAAAGTATTATTGTCTATTTAATTTTTTGATAGGTAGATACTTTATTACAGCGCGCATATTTTTACAACTTTCGGTGTGAATATTTATGAATGTCGGCCTTTATTTCCGTAGTTTTTATGTTAATTAGTACCATATTTGTTTATTTCATTAGGTTTCTGGGGTTACAACAAAACTACTAATTTGTGGTTGTGAATGCATACCTAGTTATGCACTTTCTGAAGTTCCAAAAGATAATGGGTAATGTGTACTTTCAGTATTTGTTTCTTCAATTAGCGGTTTGTGTATTGACGAAATAAATTAACTTTAAATGAACCCAAAATTTGTTTCTTTTTTATGGGTTTTTGGAAATATTCATTTTTTTTTAATTGTAATTAAGTGCGGTGAAAGGACAATCAAAAATCAAAATACGTAAAACCGTAAGTGACATCATTAAAGAACTTGTTCAAACTATAGTATGCTTTACCCGTCAGAAATTTCTTTACTTCTATACGAAGCCTCTTTTCAGTGTTGAGCTTTCTGATCTTTAAAGGGAGTTTATCGAATAATGTTCTGCCTTTATATATGATAGAGCTACGGATGAGTTCTGAGTGGGGGATAGACAATCTCAACACGAAATCCTGGCGCGTATTTGTATCGCCCCTTAGCTCCAATTTTCACTTATACTTCCTGAAGACTAAACAGGCCGTTTCCAGAATAAACAGACAACAGAGAGTTAGAATACCATGGCTCAGAAACAGAGGGCGACTCGAATCCCGACGTTTGGCTCCACACAAGTATCTGATGGCCCTTTTCTGAAGTAAGAACACTGAATTAAAAAGATAGTCAGAACAAGAACCCCAGAAGCAGATTCCGTATTGAAGATGGGACTCAATAATAATCGCGAAATAGGCACTTTCAGCAATGGAAAAATTTAGGTTATAAGCCATAACTCTGAGGGCATAGCAACCAGACGAAATTTTGTTGCATACTTTTGCAATGTGGTCTTCAAACTTAAGGGACTTGTCTATTGACAAACCTAGGAATTTATTAAACATTGGCGTAGTGATGGGTACATTTTCCAAGTAGATATCCTCAGTAGCACATTTAAACTTGAGGATTTTGTTCTTAGGTGTATTGAATGTCAGAGAATTGGTATGTCGCACCGCACCAGCACTTTATTTTAAGCAGCTCATATTGGCCTCCATTCTACCAACATCAGAATCATGCCAGAGGATAGTGGTATCGTCTGCAAAGATTGTGAATCTACCCGTTATCTGGAAATGTGGTAGATCGTTCACATAAATAAGGAAAAGCAGTGGACCAAGTACCGAGCCCTGTGGGATGCCCACACTAATATCAAGTCCCTTAGAGGTACCACCATTAAACTGGAGAGTCTGAACGCGATCCGACAGGTAAGAACGAAACCACTCTAGAGCAGTTCCCCTGGAAACCATACATCTCGAGTTTCCACAGTAGCACTTTGTGTCTCACACAATCAAAAGCCTTTGACAAATCACAGAACACCGCTGCAGCGACCTCTCCACAGTTCAGACTATATTGTAAAAGTGTTCAAGAAAGTCAAAGGATGGCATCACCTGTATTCATGGATTCACAAAAGCCAAACTGCTGAGAACTTAAAAGGCCACGGTTGTTCAAGAACGATAACATCCTAACCTTAACAAGCTGTTCCACAACCTTAGCCAGAGTAGGCAGTAATGCTATAGGCCTAAAATTAGAAGGAGAGTCGTGCTCCTCACCCTTATATAGACGGATAATCACTGTTCTTTTCAGGCAAGATGGAAAAACCCCCAACACAAAAAAAAAATAGTAATTGCCTCAGCAAGAACCTGCAAAACAATCATGGGTAAAGCTAAAAAAACCTTCAATCCCAACCCAAGGCACCTTCCTGATATTACCGAGTAGGTATACATATAAGCTCTTCTGCATTAGTTAAAGCCAGAAAGAAAGATTCAGCCACTGCTACATGTTCCAGATAGATCCTGGGATCATTCCCTGTTGGAATTTTCACTGAGAGTTCAGTGGCAATATTGCAGTAAAAGGAATTTAGGTCATCAGGATTCAGATTGCTTGTGACCGAAACATTTTTCCTACCTCTCAGGTCATTTAAAATTTTCCAAGTTTCCCTTAATCTATTAGAAGACCTATTTATCCTATTCTGAAAGTAAGTCCACTTGACAAGCCTGATCGATCTTTTGTGAACCCTTCGGTATACCTATCAAAATAGTTTAAAAATATTGGATTATTCATAGAAAATTTTCTGATGTAATGAAGGGAGCGCATATTTTTTCCAGAAGTTCGCAGGCCCCTTTGTAAGCCAGGGTAGGTGCCTACATACTTGGCCAAAAAACACCACTTACAACTCTAAACTTTCCCTGGATAAACTCCGGCTTTCACCTCCAATGAGTCCAATGGCAGATGATTATAAAATTTTACCCCACTGTAATATGTTATCAACATTATAAGACCGATAAATAGCAAATAACGTCCGGGCTGAAGTTTGTGATCCGAGGCGATAAATACCTACACCTTTTCGATTTGAAGTTCGCTCATGTTATAGTAGGATAACAGTACCTACAGTATGACGAAAATAATATAACGTTGGACCTTGGTGGTAGAGTAAAATATTAGAATTTAGAAACTTAAGATTATTGGTCTGACGAGTCGCATAAATCATGCAGTAAAAATCTTTTTAAATCACATCAAATTACTAATAATCTAGTTACATCAGGATAAATCTCTGTAAATCAAGAGAAATGTCCAAAAATCAAGATAAATCACCTGTAAATCAATGTAAATTCAAAATCCATTTAAAAATCGTTAAATTTCCACGACAAAATATAATACAACAGACATGAGAATAAAGTCCCGAGGTAAAAAGTTGGAAAGAATGTACTTATATGTAAAAACCTGGCATAAATCAATTTCCATCTTGAATAAATCTATATAAATCAGATAATGTTTTCCTCTCAATCAGGTAATAAATGAGTACAAATCCTTTTAAATCACAATAATTCACTAATAATCAGGATAAAAATATCCAAAAATCAAGATCAATCATCTGTGAATCCATTCAGTGTTGCCACTGTTGCCAGATGTGATACAATTGTACCAGGTTTGGTACCATTCGTTTTAAAAAAGTACGCTAGTACTACGACGTTGGCATATTTGATAAAATTTTCAATTTTTTTATTTTTTCCAATTTCTCAGTCTTAGCCTACTGCCTACTTAGTCTAATGTCGATGTTCTAATTAACTTGTATTTCTGTATCCTAATTCGATATAACAAAAATTTTTGATTCGTAAATAGATGGCGTCGCCAATGTAACACTCGTTTTGTGGTTTTTGGTTGACGTAGTTTGTGTTTATAGTTTAGGTTTTCGGCAGAAAATAAAGAAAACTCAAAGCCTCGCACTTTAAATTGGTTTTCCTGATCGGAAAAGTGGATAATTCAAAAAAAAACTATTGGAAAATCCAAAGAAAAACCATTGGAAAATGACATTCCAGAGCCTACTTGATGAAACTTAAGTTTTTGTTACTTACCCCGTTGAAAAACTCTAAATTTTTGATACAAAATGAAAGAAACTCAAACCCTCGTACTTTAAATCGATTTTTCCGATCGAAAACAGCCCGGAAAAGTGGAAAATTCGAGAAAAAACTGGATAAAAATGTAAACACGTCAAATGAAAATGGCCGACTGTCAAAAATGACAAATGATATTTATTACAAGACCTCCTTGATTGAAGTTAGCCACAAGCGGTGTTGCCACACCAAAATAATTTTAAATGGAGTTTTGCTAATTATGGCATTTGAAAGTGAAAATTTTTGCTAGAAAATGGAGGAAACTCAAAGCCTCGTATGTTAAATCGCTTTTCTCCATTAAAAATCCCAAGAAAAGTCGAAAATTCGAGGAAAAACTGGCAAAAAATCACAAGCCGTCACTTCAAAATGGCCGACTAAAAGCAACATTGCCACATTACATCTCGCAAAACAAAAATAACATTTAAAATGAGTTTTTTGTTTAAAATTCAATTAAAAATTGTTAAATTATTATTAAATAATGATTATAATAATTAAAATTCCCTAGATAAAGCATCGGAAACTTGTTTTCAGTTTAATTTCAATGAAAATGACATTACAAGGTTTACTTGTTGATTATAGTGAGTAAGACAAATTCAACGATAAAGTAGTATGTTTGCAAAAACCACCGTTTTCTGAAAAAAGTGAAAATCTTGAGAAAACCCAATAGAAAACCATCATTCCAAAGTCAACTTGATGAAATTAAAGTTTTTGAATATTCCCAGCTCTTTGATTAGGCGCTAAAAATCGCATTTTGAATATTCCTGGTTTTTGATTCGCTTCAAATTATCCGCTGACCAATAATTATAGACTGGGCTTCGTGATTAAAATAACTCCGGCTCTTCAGGCTCTCGTACGTATAACTCCGGCCCTTCGGGCTCGCATATAATTAACAGTTTTCCCGATCGAATCTGGCCTGGAAAAGTGAAAAATTCGAGGAGAAACTGGATAAAAACACTCGAAAATGGCCGATTGTCTAAAATTACATTACAAGACCTACTTGATCAAAAGCGACGTTGCCATAAATACAAACTCAAACATAATGTTTTTCCAGATTTTAGTGAGGAAAACAAAGGAGAAGATAAGGTAGGATACATTAGTAAAAAACCAAAAGCGATTATAAATGAGTAATGGCCGTTTCCACCAACTATTTTAGGGGAGCCCTAACGATAAGTATTCCCTAAACTGACATTTCTTCATGTAAAAATGTCATTTTAGGGAATACTTATCGTTAAGGCTCCCCTAAAGTAGTTGGTAGAAACAGCCATAAGACAAAGAGCGAGATAAAGTAGGAAACAATTTAAATGATCAGTTGGTCGCAGGGGCGTAGTCACCGGTGTTCCGCGTGTTCCACGGAACACGGGCCCGGTACTCCAAGGGGCCCGGTTCTAGATGTCAATATTATTTTTTCCTATTAAGTAAAAAAAAAATACATTTCACACCTTTGACGCTAATTTATATCAAAATAAAAAATAATATATCTATATCTACGTAAGTAAAATCTTCATTTCTCACATTCTTATGTAGAGTAGACTTATGATTTCTTTTATTATTTTATGAAAACTTTCCGATTTTACCGCTGATCGCGTATCGCATAGGTATATTCAAAATTCTTTAGTACAGCCGAACCATTCCATAGAATGCCAGGATTGACATTAAGGGCCGATTTTTCAATAGCGACTCACCTCCGGGTTGGTTTTAACTCCAGGGTAAGCGTCTGAAGTTGCAATAGACCTTTCGAAAACGCTAATCCGATTAACCCGATCATTAGCTGTTTGTCTTTTATCTCTTTTTGATGATAACGATTGAAAAAAGACACAAAACATCAGCTGGTTATCCGGTTAATCGAATCAGCGTTTCCGAAAAGGCCTAAATGTTTAACCTGGAGCTATGCCCAACCCGCCGGGGATGACTTGCTATTGAGAAACCGGCCCTTAGGGTATTTCTGGCATGACATTGCACATGAAGTAGACACTTTAGGCACAGTTTCTTTAAGCAGGTCCTGAATTTCAAACGTATCCGTATCCGCATCGATCTGCGCATGCGCAGAATAAATATGGTAGTTTCGTTGCGTTGTATTGTTCGTATCCTTACGGGCCTTGTCACGTATCCGTATCCGAAAACATATCTCAATATTTTGACACTATTGAGAGATCTTCCTGTCGGTTATCACTAAAATATCTTTAATAACATAAACACAGTAGGTACTTATAGATAGAAAGAAAACCTACAAACACAGCTACGAAATCAATACAACATTTTTTAAGGTTAGAAAACGTTTCATCCAACATCCAAGGATACGATCGTTTACGTAATGCATTACCAGGACTATTAGGCGGTCAACGTAAGTCGATGCGTTCACGGATGCGGATACGGATACGTAGAAAAATTTAGGGTTTGCTTAAAGTGTCCATGCGTCTAGAATTTTCCGCAGAATCCGGAAATGTCATGATATACAGAGGGTACGATTTAAAAAAATAAGGTTGATAACGGTACAGTTGTTTTTGGAATAAACTGTATCCTGTATAAAAAAAATTGGTGTTAAAACATCTCAAGCAAAAAAACAAAATCGACGTGTCCGAGCGGTTTTTCCAAAACGCCATCATTTATTTTGTATTGTATGTTCCATACTTCAGGTTCACCCTGTATATTTAAAGAAAATATATATATTTCTCTGATTTTCAATTTTTTTATCTCGCAGGAGTAGGGGCCCGATAAAATTTTTGATCACAGGCCCGGAGCATCGTCACTACGCCACTGGTTGGTCGAGCCAAACTATCATCAGAGTATATTCGATTGTTACCGGTTCAAACACT